ATGTTCTATGCAACCCTTCACACACACACACACACACACACACACACACACACACACACACACTTACATATAATTCATCCGAGGAAGAGACCGCTAAATGGGGGCGGGGGTGAAGAGGGGAAGAAAGAAGAGGGGAGGGGAGAGAGAGAGAGAGAGAGAAGAGAGAAGAGTCCATGAAAAGAATCCCGAGCGCGGGTGTGTGTGTATGGGGGGGGGGGTACCTTTTCTTTCTTTTACCTTCCGTGCTCAGGATCAAGCGTTGGTCTCAGGAGCCCCGAGGGGGCTGATGCGGCGAGGCTGGGTTTCGCCTACCTGCTGCCCGAGGCGTCGTTTTCACGCGCTATAGAGATTGGAGGGAGCCGGCTGGAGAGCTGCTGCCGCTGCTGTCGCCGCCACCACTGCGAGTCCCGCTGCCGCCTCTCCCCGCACTGCCAACGTTTTGAGGCGCCGTCGCTATGAAGGGCGGGCGGGAATGGGCGTAAGGAGCGCAGTGGCTCCGGTGCAAGATCGGTGACCGAAGGTGGAGCCTGCCCGGAGAAGGAACGGCGGCGGAACAACGGCGGCGGCGGGGCGGGGAGCGCGCCTGCCAGAACAGACGTGGCTACACGTTACACTTCTTGGAGATATCAACCCCGGGTGGGAGGCTCCTTCGCATGGTGCGGGGAGACCGCTTTATAGTTCTGCCTTCTCCCTGCCCTGCGGCAGATGCTGTCTGTGCAGAAGGCCAACAGGTGCAGCTTTCTCTAGGCGGAAGGTGCGGAGATGGGAGGCTGCACCAGCTGAATTTCCTCCTCCTCGAATGCATAGGGGGGATGGCTTGGTCATTACTCCTGGGTTTTTTTCCCAGTCACAAAGCGGCCGTCTGTGAAACACGGGTGGAGAATTCCTACGAGACAGGCCACCTGAGCGGGCTTATTTTGGGGGAAGTTGGGAGTTGCTTTCGCCTCTCCCTCCGCACTTGCTTTGTGACTTGACTCACTGGAAAGGTGATGTAGCAAATTCTCACCACACTAATTTTGGTGCTTGTTAGTGGCTGCTGTTGCATCTTCTATATACAGGACACTTTGAACCGCAAATTAGCCCAAGGCACTTGAGGTTCCACCTTGTGCAGAGGCAGCCCCTTTGATGAACAGCTGTGGTGGAAGCAAGAAACACTGTTGAATTTTTAAAAAAAGATAGGGGAACATGGTCCCACCTCAAGTAGATAGAAAAAAATATTGCTTTAAAAATATTTTGCAGAGGTGCTCCACTGCCCTTCCCTGAACACCCCACATACCCTTTTTCTACACTGTACAGTGAAATAATAAAACATAAACCTGATATGTGGTAGGAGGAAGAGGCAGCAACCAGATAAGAGGGGTGTGAGCCTGGCCCAAAAACTAATGTGAGAAAACATCTTGTGTTCACACAAAGATAAAGCGAGGGAGGGGAAAGCACAATAACACTTGCAAAATTCTGTTACTAGAGCTGCTGCAACCCTGACTGCTCATTAGAAGGCCAGATCCTGAAGATGAAACTCAAATACTTTGGCCACCTAATGAGAAGGAAGGGCTCACTGGAGAAGAGCCTAATGCTGGGAAAAACTGAGGGTAAAAGAAGAAGGGGATGACAGAGAATGATGGGGCTGGATGGAGTCACCGAAGCAGCAGGCATGAGCTTAAATGGACTCCAGAGGATGGNGCATGCATAGAAGCGCAGCGCATGCGAGAGAGAGCGTACGCACAAACAAGCAAACAAGTAATAAAACTGGTACAAACTCACCACTGGCCTCAACATTTATTTTTATAGTGTGGTGACCAAAACTGGATGCAGTATTCTAGGCATGGTCTTACTAAGGCTTTATAGAGTGGTATTAGTACTTCCCGTGATCTTAATTGAATCCCTCTGTTAATGCAATTTAGGATTGCATTGGCTTTTTTTGGCTGCTGCTGCACACTGCTTTGCCACACCCTCATTTTAGACAGCAACTAACAAACAGCCCCAAGGCCCCTAGGGATCTTAACGGGGACCATCAGGGTATCTGGCATGAACCCTGCTACAAGAATGAAGGTCCTTCCTACCTGTAGCAGGGAGTAGCTACAGAGAACATCAAAAGTGATCTGAAATTATAAGGAACTGATAGTAAGGTTCCCCAACTCCAGATCATATTGCTATCACTCTGAGACAAAAACTCAGCAGTGTGACCACTCCTGTGGTCTGGATCTTTAATAATCTGTATAAGGTTCATGGTTCAGGAAGGGTATGCAAGGCTACATGGTTGATATGGTACAAGGGTATGCAAGTGTCCAGGGAGGCATGGCATGAGTGAAGCAAGACTTGGGGATGGTGTGCTAATGTCCAGGGAGGTACGACATGAGCTTGGAGGGACTTGGGGAAATTGCACAGGTCTGTGGGGGAGTTACTGGAACAACTTGTGACCTTCCCTACCAACTTCTCTATTGACTTGCTTCTGAAAAGCCAACAAAGAAAGTCAAAAATCACAATCACTTGATAGGGGATACGGCAAATATCAAAAGTGTGAAGAAGCTGCCAGCACCTAGTTAACAATCACATACAGGAGTGCTGAGATGGCCAGAAATTTGAAGACAAGATTATAACTATCACTTGTTCAGAGCCACATAATTTAAAAAATTGATGAACAGAAATCATTAATGGAGGACTACCTAAAAAAAAGGTTGGTTCTAACCTTCTTGTGCACTCTGATTCATAATTTGAATAATCTCAAAGAGATGATAAACCCCAGTGAAAGCCATTAGAGTCTCTTGAATGACATTAGCCATTCCATTGTCCTTACCTCACCAAGGATGCTCCATTATAAGCTTGAGGGAGGATATTTTTCTGTATAGATAGCTTTCAGTAATACATGCCAGCTCATCTTTCGCACCCTCTATTAGATAATTATTGAGGAATGCCTTTTTACATTGCTTATTATATATTACAATTTGATAACTGATCAATGACCAAAATAAAATGATTGACTAACAGTTAATACAAATAATACCAAAAACAAGGCCAGACAATACACTACATAATACAATGCAACTCTTCTCCTGGTTTAGACTTACATTTTCTATGAAGTGTTGTTTTCTAAATTAGCAAAACATTGTTCTTCAAAAAGATCAAATGTTTTCCAAATTTTCACATATGATTAGTTCAATATTTGTTCAGAAGATTTTATCAGAAAGATTCATTTAAATTTGTTATATAAAACAAAAACAATGTATTGTCATTGCGACAATTTCTGTGTTATGTATAAATAGCAATAGCAATAGCAATTAGACTTATATACCACTTTACAGTGTTTTGCCGCCCTCTCTAAGCGATTTACAGAGTCAGCATATTTCCCCCAACAATCTGGGTCCTCATTTTACCCACCTGGGAAGGATGGAAGGCAGAGTCAAACTTGGGATTTGAACTGCAAAGTTGCAGGCAGCTGACAGTCAGCAGAAGTAGTCTGCAGTACTTCACTCTAACCACTGTGCCATAGTTCAAGTTGTATTTTTTTGTTTTTGTTTGCAGGATGGAAATAGCATATCTATCCTCAAGAATTTCAAATTCTAGCTTTGCGATGTATGAAGCTGTGAAAAGAAATAATATTCAATTTCGTGACACACCTTGAATTGCATTAACTGTTCATATAACAATCTAACAAGTAAAACAAAATGCAAACACAAATGCAGAATGTTTATATGAGCCCACCTCCACCTCCAGTGAGCAGATGATGGATGTAAGAAACAAGCAGGAGTACTTTCCAAATGCAGTTGGCACCTCTAAAACTTTCAGAATGGGCTTTTTAAAATCTCTGGAATTCCATAGAAAATGATTGCAGAAGCTTTCTTCTTTATTTTAAACTCCTAACTGGCCATGGCAAGAATTCCTTTCTGTTCTGAAAGGAATATTTTTCAAATTTTTGAAAATATATTTTTGAAATATATTTTTCAAAAATATGACAAATCTCTTTTGCTTTACTAAAAGGACTCCTGATATCAAGAAGATTTGTAATGTAACTTTCCTGCAGGGTAAGTCTATCTGCATTTTGTCTTGATTAGAATATATTGTAATAATGAACACAACATTGAGAAAAATAATAAAAACAGATACTTTGTAGCAGCAAAATCCCACACATTCTGCTTCGGAATTTATTAATGGATATGAAATAAATTAGAGCTGGCACAAAACTTTTGCTGCCTTTAGCAAGAACAACATGGTGGTCCTTTCCCAACCTCTGTACAGAAGCTGACTGCCAGTTGAATCGTACTTCAACATGGATTGAATCTTTCATTGCAACTGAGGCTGCAGGCTAATTTTGTTTGTGTGTGTATTTTTGAATCAGTTTTGATTCCTAGTGATTGTTGGATCAGTCCATGTGGCTTTATTGGCAACATTTTCAGAAATTTCTTCCTAGGTATCAGACCTGACACCATTTAAACCTCTAAATAGAAATGATACTTGGCTCCATTTGCTGAGAAAAGTATAGTTTTATTAGAAGTCAAGTGTATTGCAATAATGCATAGCCAGAACAGAGAGCTGTGTGCCAAAATCCATAAATTCTTTTATCTCTCTTAACTGCCTCCCATTGCTGACTACCCCATGACCAATCAGGTTCAAGCAAGATGTTTTCAGACAGGTCAGTTCAAGCATATGCAGCATCCTTCTTCTCCCAGGTAGCTGACTTTGAGGCAGTGTCTCAGGGAGATACAGCGGTTGCTTTCATTTCCCACCAAGCATTCCCAGCCATCCTCCTCAGAGTTCATGGCAGACTGTCTCCACTTGCTAGTGAAGCACAAACAAGACCTAAGAAAAGAGAGTAACTGGTCCAAAATCATC